TTTGTTGTCCCAGTCGTAGAAATTGCCAGCTCGGGTCCAATTTGAGAATCTATGTGATCAGCTGTCCGTGCTAGTACCTTCCTCTGAACTGAGTGTAGAAAAACTGAAATCGACGCTAGGCCATTCGTGTTGCAGGTATTTCAACTTTAAACCCAGACCCAGACGACTTTTAACAGCGGAACATTTCGGGTCTCGGAAACGTTTACTGTAAGACGACCAAGTTTTACTTTTTTGGACTACATGGTTACTTGGTTTTTCTGGTCATCCTTATTTAATATTCCATTATTATTCCATTATTTCTACACAAAATTTTCCCTAATTTACGGTCAACCTGATTGAATATTTTCGACAAATTCCACGCCACTGAAATAAACTAACTCTAGAGAACCTGTTCGGTTTTGTCATTTGATATTATAGTCGAATAAATTATAGTGTTTCAGGACAGAAATCTGACGACGTGGTTGCTCACGTTACTTTTGGATGTTTGTGAGCACTGTGAGACACTAATTTTGTCCATCCGTAAAAGTCTGTTGACGGGGTACGAAGCGCCGCTAAAGACCGTCCAAACTATAGTGTGTAAACCAGTCATGAGACCAGTCATGTCATGGACAAGGAGACAGCCTTTACCATTGTTTGCCGGATACACTTGAAGCAATCACGACTGGTACGATCCAGACAACTATCGATCGCAGAACGATTGGAATCCGACTACTGGGTCCAAAACTTTTCGTCCCAAAGAAACTTGTGCGACCTCTGAACTTGAACTGACCTACGAAACATCCGGTCCCACAAGCCTGTCTGACATAGAGGTCACTTAACTGATTCCGTGACCTATTGACCTATCCATCATTCAACCCCCCTCCCACTGATTTCTATTTCTCTAAGTTGTACGCACCCCCGAACTTAGCCTTTTCTAAAGAGTATCTATCGCTGATGTTAAACTTTTCCGTGTGATTCCCGGTACCATATATATTTGTGATGTATTAGCCAAGAGGAACAATCAGAGAAACCAAGCTTCGTTCGAAACCTTCTTCGTTCTCATGATTACCACGGGTATATTGAGCCACTTCATAGGATCTTATTCACTTGGATACGATTGCATAGGGAACATGCTTGGATTCAGTCATTTTTATCTCACGAGTGGGTACTCTCTTCTATCCTAGGAATCGTATTTGGTTTCAACTCCGAAAACGTAATATGTGAGGCGAGCATGTTTCCACTGCTCCATCAACGCACACTACACGCCCATGGATTATCACGTCTGAAAGGGTGAACGTGTTCCGACTCGAATGACGACCCAGTGTAACTGTCCTGGTTGCGTGTCAGGTCGTTCGAGTCCCAAGGACGCCTGACACCACTTCGAAACCTACTTACATGAAAACCCGAAACAAGCACAATTAGGTGTTGGCGTGACCTTGACGTGAGGTCATGTAGGGCCAACAACATGTGATATGGGCACCTGCGTGATTTGGTTCGCTATCACGCGAACATGTAATCGGATAGCTGACTGGTCAGACAGCCTTGTCAGTAGTAGATCAGGCGTGGCACGAATACAAGCATCCGTATAAAGCACACAACATTTTTGAATGTCCCGTTGCTGATTATGCGAGAAACGGTAAAATACAAACTTTTTAAATCCTCGGTGGGCTGATGGACAAAATTCTTACTAGAATTAATAATGTTCCACTGAATCGGGTAAGTAAACACGGTCACGAGGCCAAGAAGTCCCTTTTACAAGCGTTGCTAGGTTCCTTTTGCTAAAAGACAAATCCCCATTATTGATTCTGAGTCGCGGATGTGTAAGTGCACGAATTCAGGTTCTAAACACATGGATATAATGGCGCACCTCCATAACAAATTGCAAACCAGGCCATTAGGTGAGCAGCGATCACGCACGCTTCAAACAGATCCACTTTATCTCAGGCCGGCGTTATCAGGTAGTAATGCCAAAATGCGACAACTGCGCTTGTGGGTGCATTACGGGTCAGAACTGGGGTGTAAAATCTTGTCCCAGAGGTTTGTTTCAACTCGACCAGTACAGGTACCTGGTTGTTATCTGAGGCCGTACTCTTAGTTTCAAAGGTCTGTTTATTCAAAATGCGATAGGGGCCAGCTAATGCGCAGTCCTATCTTGGGGTACGGAACATTGATCGCGTTCATGGGAGGAAACATCACTGTCAACATGATCAGTCACCATGGGTTCGGGACGAAATCTGACGAATAGTACTCAGTAAAATACTCAATAAAATATACTGCGACATCTCAAACTAGCTGAAATTCGCCTAAGGAATATCATAACCGAGAGGTCCGATTAGCGTTCAGCTGGGTGTTTCGTTAACACCAACCCAATTTGCAAAACGGGCATATTTCCCTAACGATATGTACGGTAAACCACTCTGTTACCTTGCGTAACCTACATAGCTCACCTGGTGGTGGTTCATTCACAGCATTACAACAGTTCCCACCCAGGATGGTCGATGACACGAGCTTACGAGCTGGTGCGCGACCTCGAAAGTTAACTTTCTATCCATAGGAACGGATTCGAACTTTGATTGGTGTTTAACCAAACGCCAGCATACCATTTGAATGCGGCGCTCTTTCGACGACACACATGTCAAAGTATACGGTACAGGAAGAAACTTAAAACAAATGCTACCCGAAGGAGGCACGAGGGCTGGGATACTGCCAGGTTGCCCAAGCTTAGACAGGGGAAGTCGAGAGGCAGAGGTCGGGTTCGAACCACGGACATTCCGGTCAGCAAATTCGTGCTTTAACGATTTGAGCCATCTCATTCCTACTGCAGCAGCACGTGGAGTCTTTTTCGTCCCAAAACGGACCCACCGCGCTTGAGTTCACCCTTAGTAGTAGACGCACTCTAACCACTTACATCTGGCACACCAAAACAGCCTGTGGTCGAATCGTCATCGGTGCATGTTGCTGCCTCTCGAGTCCCACGTTTAGTTCGTTCAGATTAACACGGATGATCTACAAAACCCTGAACATCCGGATAAATAAATATTTGATATGGGACATTCTTCTAGTCGTTAGTTTGCCGTAAACTCTTTGACAGCCCGGTTCAACTTCAAACACCCCGGTAGTCTGCTATGCTGACAGTACACGGTGGTTTTCGTCGTTCGGTTTCGGGCTGGTTCATCAGACAGGCAAGAAGTGTGGAGTATCCTACTTTCCTATGGAGATTGGATACTGGTTTGCCAGAACAAACACCTAGCAGTCGTATGAGTAAACCATCCACAGATCTTAGCTTCATTAGACTTGCATTTCTGGATAGGCGATTGGGAAACCTAATTGAATATTTGAACGTAGCGATTTGAGCTGTTGTTCTCGGAGATCCGTAAACACGCTTTAATTATTAACTCTTCCACGCAAAAGCACCCTACTTGAGCTGACTGCACCTGTTACTTTGAGTAGTTTCTCCTGATCTTTATTTTTCCCTCATCTCTCGTGTATTGTGCTGTCAAAGAATTCCGAATTCGTACTGAATTTACCGAGTTGTGATTGGTGCGCTAGTGGCACCCAACGTGTGATTGGTTGGTTTGGAATGATTAGGACTTAGTAATTGTAGAATAACTCATTTCAAAATCTCAATTGCGTCTGTTGTTTTCAGCTTGTATGCACCTCATTCACAGTCCAAAACTTACCTGAGTAGCACCAGGTATACTTGCGTGCGCATGTATGCAACTGGTACATGTCACAGTGCCTGATTTCGTATCCGGCTGTAGCTCAGGATGCTTGGGGCGTTCTAAACATTTTCCCCAAGATTAGTGGTGTCATGGCCGGTTTGGACAACGCGGATGCAAGCATTGTTTGTTTGTGCAACTACGACACATTCTCGCTAACGTTGTCGAACAAGACGACTAATGACGAGCAAACATCTAAGCCGAAATGTATCATTTCTTTGGTTGATGACCCTAGTAATCACAAAATGATTATCGGTGGTGACTATTGAATTGTCGGAGATGTGGGACCGAAGGTATGAAGGAAGCGGCATGAAAATCAGATCAGCAAAGCTGCTTGTCTAGAAGAGACAGGGGAGGTAGTAGCACGCAAGGCAAGCCTACAAGTAACATGATATCGTTGCCCAGTTCGTTTCGTGAAATCCGTCTTGGATGCCCGATATCGGTAATGATTTGATTCTAAGCAGACACGAGTTTGAGCACGGATGACAAAATCTTTGGTGAACTAGATGCCTGGGATTTTGTAGCACACTCTATCGCAGCCGTGGATGCAAGACCCTACGGGATAATTTAGCAAATCCAGCATCAATTTCACAGACACTCAGGAAGTTGAATTTTATTGCAGTCGTGATCCACTTAGGTTGCCTGGGCCGGATACTAACACATAGCTATCTATGTAAACGTTGTCGTCTTTTAAGCTACGGGAAAAAGAGCCTCTTATTTGGCTAAATACTGCCGAATGATGACTGTCAAAGTGTTAGTAATGCTGGGGAGGTCATTGGCATAGAGTGAACAGTCCTATTTCAAGGTACAGGACCAAAGTTTCTTTACTATCCCGGTACTATCACTTGTAATGACGATCGTTCGAATTGAACGGGTGTTCATAGCCTTCCACCGAAAGCCTAACATATACAAACGGTGGTCAACGTTTGTGTCGAGACGAAAGGATGAAGCCCAAAATTATAAAAACACAAGCCGATAGAATCTTTGAAACCACGGGCATGCAGTCAAACTTATTCAAGCTCGTATGGCTTCCGGAAATGTAAGCTGCAGACAACATGCTTACTGGAGTATCTTTATATTAGAACATCTGATGAGTATTTTTTGGGTTACATTAACAGAGTTTCATGTGTAAACCTGCCAAAAAACGCCGTTACTGCTGTGCAACTTATGAGAGATAATTTCAAAAACAACTATTGACGTAGTCTCTGTTTTTTTTTTTTGGGGGGGGGGTTTGCGGAAGATGTGTTTTGTTTATATTCACATTACTCTCGTCTGAGCAGTTGTCCCCCCGTTTTGCCGTAATTATTCTGGTGGGTCCACACCAAAGGAAGTGAAGCACTTAACTCGAGTTTCGCTCGAATTAGAGCTCATCAGCAGTGTATATCCGATGGCCGTGCCGGGATTTGAACTCCAGACACCTGACGTGCGAGGTGAACGTGTTACGTCGTAGTTATTTTCCAATGATTCTCCTCATGTTATACAACTACCATGTATTATCAGAACATCAGTATTACTTTTCTTCGAAAACGTGTAACAACAAAAATTCGACACAGGAGAATACCGTGCATCCTTCCGCTGGTGGTGTTGATACTGCATTCCATAACTGATGGTCTTGTGTTGATCTTCCGATAATTTTTTTTTCCAAAATCACACGCAGTAAAAGATGTGAAAATTGCAGTAGACAGCTCCACCTATATGTGTTTACTTCAAAACGCATTTGTTCATTACTACCTGAAAATTGTGAAGTAATGAACTCACAGACTTGTATAGTCACTGAGACGTGAGCTGCCGATGACGCTTATACACAATTGGACTCCCAAATACCAGTGCTGAGGCTGCGAGTTCTTACCAGTTTGAAGATCAGCAAATAACATGTCTCTGATGATTTCCTGTTAAACGCTTTCTCCTTTTTTTCGAAGAAGACTGCTTCTACACACAGGATGGAATAGTATTTGTGTAAAACAAATCATGGAGTAAGTTATCGGTTCGGATTAAGTTGCGTCTCTTATTTCCGAAAAGTTAATTCGCCATTTATCGTGTCTTCTGTTAATACACATTCCCTGTTCAGTTTAGACGAACGGATGACTGGGACTTAGAGGCTGTCCCAACTGAACCCGGTGGCGGGTTGTTCAGATGGTTTCAGCAACCGTTTCAATCTCATTGGGTAAGGAAAAAAGGTTATCTTTGGTCTAGAAATTTTTGTTCTCTCCTAATAGTCCAAATGTTTTCATTGCGGGTAGCACAATTTTCAGGCGGTAAGTGGCTGCGGATAATGTAACCTAACAAGTTGTTACTGAATGGTTTAAAAATGTATTATAATTGGCAGGAGAAAACGTTTGTTGAAAATCTCAAACGGGGACATGAACCTGCCGAGCAGACTCTAATTCCTTCAGCGTTAGTCTGTAAATCCTTCACATCTGTCATGAAGCTTTCGTTTTATGCTAGTCAAATCATGGCTGGGAGTGAGGAGGATGACAGTTTCCCGATTCGACCAATGGGTAGTAAGTTATTGTGGGGTGACCGTTTGTAGTTAGCGAATGCATCATGGTAAATTTTATCGATTTAGTTTGGGTACTTTCTAATCCCTCTCAACTCACCCTAGAGATTTTTTTGTTTAGCGCACCAGATACTATTTAACTAATAGCCCTATATCACCAAACGCCAACTACGCTGAAGATTGTGACATGGTCACGACAGCAAGTCACGGGAAACCCAAATTAATCTCTCCTTTATGATGTTCTTTAGCTGAATATGCTGCACACAGGCCGCCTCATGTTTCAGTTGGTAGGATGTTCGAGATATTGCAGTATGTTTTCACGGAAGAAACTACTCGCAAGGTTGCTGAAAATTGTTCGACAGTGCTTGACCAGTTTCGCCCTCCTTAAGGCAACAACAACTAAAAATGCTCATTCCTTGTTTTATATTTTACTGTCCCACTTCTAAACTAAACTTTCATCATGGGCTGGCGTAAAGACAGCCTTGACTAGCTCCAAAGGTCGAAAGTAATCCGAGGGGTAAATTCTTGTCAAGTGTTTCCCGGCCAATTGGGATGTGCCCTCTCCTATGTGTAGAGAAGGCGTGTATAAAAATCACGTCTACGAAATTTGCCCCGGGTGATTGACGGAACGAGAGAATGTACGCAGAGAGCTTGAAAACACTCACTGTAAATCACACGTTTCAGAGTGAATGGAATACCGTCGACTGCGGACAATCTTATAAATCAAAACAAGATAAGGTGTGCAGAAAAGAATAGAAAAATACACCTGCACAGAACAAGACGTTAATATGGATGGTCTGGGCCTAAAATCCGAAATAATTTGCTAAACTGTCTAGGACTGCTCCGTATATAAGGGACGTAAATTTGGCAGAAAGTCTCCGCTGGACGCACGTTCACAGCGGACATCTTCAGCGTTGTTCCTATGGTAGTTTTCTGCCTGATGGAAATACACGCCCTTGAGTTTGAACTGGGTGCCGTTAAGAAAACATATCCAGTTCGGGTTGTGTCTGTCATAGGCATCTTCAGTGACCTATTATTCCACTTCCGATCGGAAGCGAGATGGACCAAGTGGTTAGAGCGCGGATTTACTGGCCGGAAGGTCCGTAGTTCAAACCCGACCCCTACCTCTCAACTTTCCCTGTCTAGGCTTGGGCGACGGGGCAGTATCGCAGCCCTCGTGCCTCCTTCGTGTGGTGACAGGCGCCGAAAGAGTGCTACAACTGAACAATGTAAGGCAGTGAAGCATCAGTACCAACACTGATGCTGCTGTCTTTGATGATGATGATAGGACTGAAGGACCATACACATATTTTGTCACACTTACATTCACACTTTGATTAGCTCAAGTGCGGTATGTCTAAGGTAGACACAAAAATTCACTCACATTTGAGCAGCTGTGTTCGATCAATGCATTTGTAATCAGCGCGCATAGTTTTCTCACAAGAATTGTATGATCAAACTTGCGTATATTCTGAAGAGTTTGCTGCCACCAAAAGAAGGAGAATCGCCACCCGATGGGAAACACAGTGACGGGAAAAAACTCTTTTGAGAGTAAGGCCTGGTCACTGAATTCGAATGTGGTGTTCATCGACTTGCACTTGGAGCTACATTCGCCCAAAAGCATTCAGATCCAAGGCTTTGAGTATTCACATCTTGAAATAAAGAGCTATTATCTACAACTCATAATCTCCCCATTGTGACTTTGCCCCTTGGTTAGGGTTGGTTTTTTGCTCGTTTGTTTTCCAAACGGATGTGGTCTGCTTAACGTGGAAAATTTACTTTTACACATCACCAGTCAAAATGCCGCTCTAATATAAAGTTGGCTACTTCTTGAATGAGGACGCCGAGTTCCGACTCATACTGGATAACTACCAAATTGTTGAAAACTTGTGGGGAAAAACGGGATGATCACTGAAGTTGTCGACATGACATAACGCACTACAGACTGCGAAGCAATTTAGAACTTAAAACTCCGCGAAAAACTGTTGCACTGCGACATAGTCTTGATGCCGTAACCTCCTGGCTGGTATTTTGGAGAGTTAGCCGTTCGGACTTGAGCAGCTGATCAGCAGTGTCAAAAACTCGCAGTTGGAAAAGACATCGCGCAGGTCATCCATCAGTCATGAGACCTACATCACGCGGGTATCACGTGTTCACCGGTTACTCGAGGAACGACCACTTAGATGGATTTCTCACTTATCATTCTTCCACTAGACTACTTACTAAATTTTAGTCGTGTGATGAGCTTTGAGACTTTACCAGCAAAAGTCCATAAGATGGTTGAGATTTCACCTTCTAAGAATGTTCAAACCTGCCTAATTTTTTCCGTGGTCATATCTTCACGTAACTTCTGGGACATATCCAGTCTATCTGAATGAAAAACGCGAGACGGCCAACGAAGTCTAGCTGGAGTGCATTAGTAGCTTGGTCCCCCAGGCTTCGTCAATCCATTTCGCCTACGATGTCGAGGGAATGCACAGTAAAATCGTAACCACGATAGTTGTAGTAGAGTATCGATCGGTTTTTATCGGAAAGAATGCTCCGATCCAGCAGCCTTCTTGCCCAAAGCTAGTGATGGCTCTTGGTTGCTCAAAACTAATTGGGCTCTAGATTTTTCGGTTCAACATCAACAATCACACAAGGAGCTCCTATTGACAAACATTATTTCGAGGCTTGGGTAGCGGCACTCACGCTGTCGAGTACCAATCACTTTCGACCTCAAGGTTGAAGGGACCTATGTCTGGTTATACTCTGCTGGTTGGGGTCAGTTCCCTGAAAACTTGTAAACCTTCCCCGTGCTGTTTATTCTCCTAACTCCAGTCATACTGATATGATCGATCGGGTGTTTACAAGTGTCCTGACGATTGGAACTCACGTCGGCGTTTTTTATTTTCACATTTGTTTATGGTTCTCCTCGAAGTCACCATGGAATATACAATCTTGGGATGGGTTAATGAAGACGTCGTGATAGTATCCTAAGAGATGATAAGGCGTGAGTAATCAGGGTGCCCGTAGCTTCCGTCATCCAGCCCGACTCGGCATGAAAAAACAGCATTCATCTGAATTTAATTGGTAGTGTACACAAAGCAACGTTTAGAGACAGTCACTAGAACTGGAGCTTGACCGCGCCGGTTGAAGGACCATAAGTGGTTTTCTGTCTTTATTGAACATTGTCTGCAACTGCCTGCAACGAGTTCAAAACAAAATGGTACCTAAGCCGGTGTATGCTATTGAATCCAATTTGTTGGAACACTAGAATAAGCCTACCAGTTTGCCGTGGCTGGAGCAATCGGTAAGTGTCATCAACCGCCGTTTCAATTAGGAGGCGTTGTTTTATCTCCTAAGCAAGTGTCGGTGAAATTTGTGTGCGGGGACAGACTCCGACATGATGATTTGAAGAAAAGCTTCAACATTCATCTGAGCGCTGTGGCCTCCTTATTGTAACTCAGGTGATCTCCTCATTAGAGGTGGTTTGAAACTCTGCAGGACATGACACAGCTGCTGCCACTTCCTAGCCGGATGTCAAGCTGAATTTTGCCCGCGCTTGAGCTCAAGGCGCATGCTGACCAAGGTTTGCAAGAAATAGGGATGTGTTACCGGTTATTTTGCTTGCTTTGACAAGATGCGTAGCTATTTTTATATCAAAACCTTAATAAATTGTAGGCATTTTATATCTGGCCGTTTTCCTAAAAGTTTTCCTAAAACGTTTTCCGTTTTCCTAAAAAGTGTTTATTCACACTATGGCTATATCTTTCCCTGTGAGGTCAGATATTCGCCAAGATTCCCTTGGTTAGTTTTATGACATTTAATCAACAGTACATATTTCTAGTCCACTGCGATGAGGAACTGGTGGGGTTTTATTCCATTTGTACATTAGAAAACACGAGCAACTTCTCACATACAAGCAGTCTCACTTTATTTGTTTCGAGCCGTAAGAAAAAGGATATCGCCGTTGGTTAAGCTCACTTTTCATTCATTTAAAAGGAAGAGTCCCCATCTTTTCAACGTACTCTGTTGGCAGTTCCTAAAATATATACATTATTTGGGTATAATTTCTGTTCGTAATTCTTTGAGTGTCCACTGGTTTCTTAGAAACAAGATATTTTGCCTATCAGCCCGCTGGAGCAGAACCCTTGCCTACGAAGTGTTTCTTTCGGTTGAAGTATCAAAGAATGCGTACGTGTGGATGTGCTTTCGAACAACCAGAGGTTTTACTGAGCAAGGTTTGGTGGAAATTTTTACCAATATCACGGTTGAAGGTATCCGGCCAAAATTGTGTTGAAATAATAATGTAAATGCAACTTTGGATACGATGACGTGTTTGACGGCTGTTGACAGTTTTGCCTTCCAGTTTCATAAAATCAAGGGTGTCGCTCATTGAGACGTAGAGTTTAACCTAATTTATGGCGTTTTATTTTAAAATAAATAAACTAGTGAAAGTTTTTAGCTCAAATTTACGTGTGAAAAAAGCATGCATTTTTAGGTGGAGTACTAAAAAAGATGATTTCCAACAAAGTTTTACGAACAAGAGTGCCTGACCCTCAGATGTACTCCAAATTTGCTCATGCGGTTTGTCATAAAGCATGTCACAAAATATTTTGCAGCCTGCAGATGAATATCGAAAAGTTCAGAGCAAATTTGATGCGGACAGGCAAGCACAAGTGGATCATGACTGAAATAAAAAAAATTGAAAGTATAAGGGAAGAGAAAATCAGGAAAGTACAATTTCAGCTAGCGTTTTGTTATTGATGGAAACAACGCCCTGAATTGAGATTTTGCGCGAGTTCGTTCATTATATACTACTAATCATGTACTTTCATCATCGATTTGAATAGCACTCAAATGGTTAATTCTCCCAGAAGTCTTGTGAGTGAAGACCATCGGAGGATTCAGGTGCTCATAATGGGTGACCATGAAGTGAATTTGTCCAGATGTTACAATTCATGTTTTCTAATCTCAGAATTGAAACTAGGTCCGTACCTGTGTTATGCTGTCACCTTGAAAAATGTACTCGTAGCATAAATTGAGTGGCTGCTTCATTACACTGAGTTAACATGTATGAGTGGGATTAAACTTAAATCCTAAACTTAAAACCTGATCCTTTTTCGTAAAGGAAACTACTCAAAAGGTTGCTGAAAACTCTTCGACAGCCCACTTTGGGCTCATCAGGTAGGCGCAGTCCCCGAGTTCCCGTCAACCTTATGTTCTAATTGAACCCAAATTGGACTGTTTTCGAGAAATACTTTCATTGGCAAATCAATTTGGTTTTCAAGACAGACTCACGAACGAGAGCTTTAGTTGAGTCTCTCGTGAAAACCAAACTGATCTGTTTTTATTATTCTTAGACGGCTGAATTCAGCTCCTAAAAATATCGAAGATCGCCTGTAATATAACCATTGCTTATAGAAATTTTGTTTCAGTTTCCAGAGTGCCAGAGAGCAAAGTAACACCTGAGTCGGTGTTTGCATACACTTGGTGAGGAAAGGCTCCCGGTTTACTGTCCCATTGTGAGACTGACATCCATTAAAGGCTCATTTCAGATAAAGGTCTGGTTATTCCGTAACCAAAATAAAGCAGACATATAAAGAAACGAACCTCAAATCCGTCATTGTGTAAGATATTCCCGCGCCTTCTGTGAGGGGTACGCATCACGTTCAATTGGGTTTTAGTACCCGCACGCCAGGATCTTTTCAATCAATTTCGGTGTCCTAGCACCAGCGTATAGAATATCCCCTTTGCATGTAATAAAGACACTCATATTCTCTTGCATTGGTGGGAGGTTACGCAGCCTTGTGAGTGACATTCACAGAAAATTTGGGAGTGTAAGCAAACAACAGTTTTTGGCCGTCATTGTTCAATAAATTCATAAGGACAGCTGAATGTCCCCAGCCGTGCATATAGATGCGTGAGGTCTGGCTACAGGACGATCATCCAAGGGAGGACAATTTAAAATAACAATGGAAATAAAACGTGTACTAACTGAAAAATTTGGTCGCTCGCTCGTCACCCACTGAGTCACTCATTAGAAAAAATTCCGTAGTATATAAATTAAACTCTGGCCGTATGTCACGCCTATTTATCCGTACAAATGAACGCTGTTCTGCTCACTCTTCTGGCCACAGTTTCATGTCTAAAGGCCTCGGAAGCCCACGTAATTCAGGCGAGTATCTTTTTGTTGTAGAGACACCTAGGTTTTATCGTATAATATTACAAAACTTTGCTTTGATTTTCGCGGTTTTCATGTGACAATTCTCCGTATACGTCAAATCGCGGAGGACAGTTCAGGAAATCGTGTTCAACCAAGCAAATCGCTTAAATATATTTGCTAGTGAGAGTTATTTTGAGAAATATATTTATATACAATATATATTATATAATTGCGTCCACGTGGTAACCTACTAGAAAAGCCCAGTCGGCAGCAATGAACCATCCAGTTTTTATATCAGCTTCATGAAAAGTCATTTGGTCCGCCATTCACCATCCCAAAACATGTTTGATGGTTAAAACAAGGGGTCTTCTTAGAAAAATCCCGACTGATTTGCCGTGGGTGAGGTGCTTCAAGCCAATTGTCGTATTAAAATTACCGTTTCTCCGCTTGTATAACAACATTATGACTTTAAATTGGATGGTAGAATAAAAAGTCGTCCGTGATTTATGTCAATACAGCTGGACGAACGAGAGGAGAAAAAAAGTGAGTGAATCTTGCTCTGTGTTTTGGTTGACTGGTTCTGAGAGGCCAACTCTTCAAGTAATATCATCGAATTCTGAACCATTTAGCATCAAATGCTGGAAACGCTGACTACCTCTCTTTTATCTTCTCAGATTGTGATACGTGCCAGGTCATTTTCAAAATTCTCATAACTGTTGGGAAAGCTGCGGGTGATTCGGTGGTGACAGACAAAATTGTACCATTGCTGTGCGGTCTACTTCCTGCTGGAGGCCCAGTAGTACGTCCCGTTTCTTGCATTAGTGATCGTCGCACAGTATTTTGTCAACCGTACCTAAACGCAAACTGTTCCAAATGGACAACAAGCAAGTAGTACCACTTTGTGTGCAACTCATTTTCGAACTTCGTATTCACGTTGTGTACCTGTATTTTGCTTTTTAGTGCACGAGCCTGGTTGCTCCTATTTTAAAGAAAATTGCCGAAAAAGCCAAGGGCAGTACAGCAGAAGAAGTATGCAAGGTTAGAATGGCACATTTTATACGTTCGTCTTGCCAAGAAGTTTTATGTTCCTCTCAAAAACGGCCCAGAGATGCCTTTTTATTGTGCTGGATACTACTTATGGAACGTAGCAGATTATTTAATGAAAACTTCAGTAACACGTTTGATGAATCATAGCTAACAACTGCATACCAGATTCATCCTAGATTTCGTCTTAGTAAACTGTAATTTTTGGTTTCAGAAAATTAAATTCTGCTAGTGTCCATCACACGTGGGTGAGCAGTTTATACTCATTTATCGCCTATTTTTTCTAAAACAACCGAAAAATATGTACCCATGATCTTCGGTTTGTTTGCTGTTTGCTAATTTGATGAATTTGTTGGCTTGATTCAATTTGTTCTTATCTTTTTTGTTGCAGACGATATTTTCTACGGCGATACTATGTACACTACACACTAAAGACTACGAATATATTCCAAACATCATGAACCGCTTTTTGCTTCTCCGCGTGGCCCAAATGAGACCATTTTTACATGGCAATTTTATGGCAGTATGCAATAAAAGGTTCACAGTATGCATAAATTCGTGAAGATACTAGTAACAAACTCACATCTTTGTGTTTGGGCTTTCCTGGATAACCTCTGACAAAGTATGTTATTTTTGTTCATAGTCACCACTCTCGTTTGAGCGGTTGTCCTCGTGTTTTGGCATAATTGCTCCCGCGAGTCCACATTAAAGGGAAGCACCAGACTCGAGTTTCACTCTTATTAGAGCTCATCAGCAGTGCATATCCGATGGCCGCGCCGGGATTTGAACCCCGGACATTTGACGTGCGCGGCAAGCGTGTAACCACTACTCCATAGGTAGTTTTTGGAACGCCTATATAGAGGACAGGATTCTGCATTGCAGAGTGAGGCGAGTTAAATATTTTGGTTCGTACACGTTACATAAATGAGTGTATGGGTGTGTTAGCTTGGTTTTCTACGTGCAAGCAATTTTTCAATAAAATCCGAGTTTGGACGCTAAAATGAGGTGTTGAGAAACTTCTAGTTTAGACTAAAATGCTCCAGACATTTCTCAGCAAAAAATGATTTATATGCACGGAAATGCTGTCAGCCTGGCGTTGTGCATGAACAAAGTTGTTTGCTTTTTTTATTCCAAAGAAGTAAATCTTGAAAACAGTCAGTAATCGTAAAATCAATCTGTTAGGGCGCACCCAGACAGAAGAAAAAAGTATATGTGCAGAGAGTGACGCATCCCCAAGGTCACCATCGGTTCTACACGCCCGGATGGTAGGTGAGTTGGCGCCTCTCACCAAACGGCTTAGTAACACACGACCAGCGTAGTGGGCCTGAGAATGTTCACGACCGGAACACCACCATTGGCTGTACGGATCGAACAAGTGAACGAGCATATTTGGCCAATTAGTCATCCTATATATATTTACGCAGACGCTCTGTATGTTTGGTGCTGGCAATACAGCTGTATCCCCAGTTCTCTGTCTTCTTCCTATCGCGTAGTCTGGCAGGCTCAGTGCAGGCGTAACCCATAGCTCGGCCACCGCACGACACAATACAATCCTACTAATGTTTATGGCCAAAAGGCGAAATGCCTTCTGAAAGTTTACCTAAGGTTGGCTTCACCCACAGAAAGACACTTTAATTGAATATTAAAAAATCGTATCACAATAAGACCAATAAAAGTGTCGAAAAGTGAGAAAGTTCATGGCCTTATTTTCTAAGAAACTCTCTATTCAAGTACTGTTGACAATCAGTGTTGACCAAATCGGCGAGTTCATGCTCTTTGGAGGGGAGACGCAATTCAAAATTTCTTGCAATCTCAATGGTGCTATATGTAGCAAAGAAGGCAGAATGGCTCAAAGTGGCCTGAACGTGTCATCAGAAATGTCTTCACCGGTGTCCAAGCGATGAGGACAGAGATCGTGTCTCCATTTCCAATTCCAACCCATTGTGTGTTCCACAATGGGTTAAGGCTTACCTAATAGCCAGAGAAAGGTGGTTTTGAAATAATCTATGTCACTGCAAAGCGCTGACAGCCAATGATCCTTCACAATTTTTAAACTAAACTTGAGGAGCTCCCGTCTTCGATTTCAATGAAATAACTTGTCGTTTTAAGCTGTAGGTGGTAGGAGGAAGCCTGCTCAAGTTGAGACAGAATGTATAAATATACTATGCAGCGTGTTAGGCTTGAGATTGTACAACGAGATGACAGGCGAAATAGGGACGCTTCAAAAGTATTGGAAGAAAAACCCTCTTGAAGACTAAGGACCGAGTAATGGAAAGCTCGAAACCGGGAAACACACAATAATCCGTTTCAGAAATTGTGTTTTCTCAAGAATACGGAAATTTTAGGGTCAAAACAGAGCGTAACCAAAGACCATTTGACAATTCAAATTTTTGGTTTCCGTAGGCAAATTGTTTTAAGATTTATACGATTGATTCGGCTCCTAACTGCACCATTTCTAGTGATGATGTTAGTCTCCCATCTACCTGGCTTGGACATACCTTAGCTAGATAGCAAGCGGGCGTCACAAAAACGGGACATCACAGCCTGTTCCTCAACAAATGAAGATAGATCCTAATCAGAGTGCACTCTTAATCACGCGCACACAGAGCCAACACATACCCACACACGATGGTCTGATCTGAGTGCCATCTGAGTCGCATCTTCACATGAACACATCAACATGATAGTGGATCCAAATGACGGCTACCTTTGGCCTATTTCAAGAGAAAAACCTCCAACCAGGTGCAAATTCAGCATGTTTGGGGAGGCAATGCTCAGGCGTCATTTTGCTGTGACTCTGATGCAGATTACACCTGCCCAGTTGGTGGAAAAATTCAAATATAGAATAATGCCAGATAATGTACTTTATGGTTGGTGTCTAAAATAAAAATCGGATAACATGTTAAAAGCACAACTGATGCGCGCAGCAAATGAAAGCAAATAAACCTTTTATGTAATACAATAAATTCAGTCACAGTAATTGGCATTGTGTCCTTCAACTGAACCATAATTACATGGGCTCTGGAGTTGTGACTTAGACTAACAATCATACACATTATGTTGATGGCGCTCGTGAAAATGATCTTTACTTCCTGGAATAATCCTGCGTCAATCGCCGCTATTGATTCCATACAAAAAATTAATTAACCCACAAGCAAAGCAACAGACTGGGGCATTGTTCTTTCAAGTGGTTTTGTACAGTACTAGTGCAACGTTGGATACTACTGATCAGGCATGACAGTAGTGTTTTCTCGCAAACCCGATTAACATATCTTGGGGAGTGAGATCTTTTAAGGAATTTGTGGAGTCGCTTTGTGGCATTTGATTGCAATGGAGTACCAGCCAGTGAATATCTGGGAAAGTTTAGGAAGGCGCGTTTAAGTAGAAGATGGATATTCAATTTTGTGAACAAGATGCATATGAGAGTTTCGCTCCTCTGTCCAATAGTCTGTGACTGTTCAGTTGGTGTTTTTCCAATAAATAACTCCGCAACGAAGCCCTTTTTTCCTTTCACCAGTATTTTGCCGTAAGAAATCTTGCTCTATCGCATAAAAATAATTTGCAGCAAAGATCTGTAGAAAAATTACACACAAAAGTGCTTGTCGTGAAGGTTTTGATAACTGACTGCTTGCTTCACAGTTTTGAAGCTACTACTGTCTACCTTAGATTGGCAACACACTGAGTTTTCAACCGAACCTCAGTTATGCCTAGCTAGACTTTGTTACATCCACTTCTTGAGACGCCTAATATATTTTTTACTTGCGTGTTTTTTGACAAGCTTCATTTGTTTAAAGTAAACGAGAAAGGTGTAGTAAGTATTTCAACCGAACTACCTCCTCGCAAACCTACTGCCAACATGATCTACAACATTGCTTGTTGTCACAGCAATAAAAAAGGTAATAATAGTTGTTTTGATACAAAATATTTCGGTGCTAAAAACAGAGGTTTACCCAAAAAAAGAGGAAGAACGGAAACCGTTTATACTGCAGCATAGGTAATCGAAATCAATATTGGGGTATAGGTTAGTATCACCGTGTCCAAAATGGTATTGCCCATGATTTCTGATCAGCAAGCCGCAGATCATTTTGAGTCATATATTTTCAACAGTTTTTTTTAAATCACGTGATCTGAAATTCCCGGATAAAGTTACAGTGGCATTTATACTGATGGATTCCGTCATTATTCATGCTTTTGTACCTTTCATGTGCGTGTGGTTTGTAAAAATGACATCTTTCTAGAAGGACACTTGTTCAACATGTATTTGGATTATTCAAGTGTCCGTGCTCTCTAAAGGAAAAAAATATCGGTTTGGTAATACTTAGAAGCATAAAAACAAAATCTGAAAACGAAACACTCCCAGCTGACAAAATTAAGACCTTATAACTTCCGTAACCTTACGACATTTTCTGTAAAAGCCTTTCTATGTGGTGCGATAAAATTATTCCTTAAAGTGTGATGGTTATCCTCAAAAAATAATACTACATGTTTAAGTAATCTATACTTTTGTCACAATACTCTCGAAAGATGATTGGGAAAAAATGATACCACAATGTCTGAAAAAATGTTTTTATACACGATATTTTAGGAATATGGGAAGTTGTTTGCCCCAGATGAGAAATGTAGCTCAGATTCCCTTGTGAAATGCATATTACGTTCAACGAAAACAAAAGACTAACGGACGTACGAAGGCTACGTCTACGCGGAAGGACACAAGACACGTGAGAATAATGCAATTAACTTAACAGTTTGACCAGTGGTCAGCATGAGAGAGGCAGGTAAAATTCCTTCGGAAGAAGGTTTGCCACAAAGTAGGTCTCAGTTTTGCTCTACGTTATGTTTGTTGCTACTCTCCCACCGATTCGTCTAACGTAACAGTTATCTCCGCTGCGATAGAACTACTTTCTGTGGTAGGTGTGGATTTATACGACATGGTTCGCCAATTTTTAAAGGCGAAGTTTCTTTGAAAGACCGTCTAGTTGTGTGCCAGACGGTTTAAATTTTACTAACTAAACAGCGATTTGATGACCATAAATTTTTCCGTCTGCGCTATACACACCTTATTGTACAGCTTACATTCTAGAAGGCTTACGAGTCTGCTCATTTTTATACATAAATGCTTAGAAAAAGCGTCCTGAACAGATATAACGTTGCGATGTTTATTGCTAACCTAAATCCGCATGTTAGACGGGATCTTATATGTTTACTGATCAAATACCAGTGTTTGCAGTTCAAAAGATTTCTAGAGAAAATCAATAAATGACTCAGCTTAGCTGTTTGTAATCTGATCTATTTGAATTGATGCGACTTGAAGTTGCACGTAGAACGGTCACGTGAAAATAAGGTTTCAGTCACCCGAAGAACTTGAACAAAAACCTAGTAAGATTGAACTAAACAATAGAATACTAGGTGAGGTCTTCCGGTTTATTTGTCACTTAACCTGTTTGTCAAAGTTCTGTTTCCAACACAATGGTGTGAAGCGGCTCAATGACCACTGAATTGTGACATCTATTCTAGAGGTCACCAATTGATAATGTAACCTCTTTGATCTGTAGCGAGGGCCACGTATATAGTTGTCTAAGGCTAAACGTGAACATTAGGCCTGATTGAAACTTCAAAGGAGAATAATTGATGTGTGGTCTCCTGTTCTGTGGGCTATCTTTGCTGAGTTAATTGCATGAACACTCGGAACTAGTGCTGACATTATTTGGTTTTGGACTTATGTCTACTTGCGTGCATAAAAACGAAATGCATAAGGCTGACACCAATTATAGCAGTTTTGTGCACTTATTTGATTGTAAAACAAGGTGCCTGTCTGACACTGAGTTCGATGGAAATCGGTGAAACATATAATTGTTTCAGCAACGTGTGACTTAGATTTTTAAAAGGGACAGTGCTAATGGAATCTTACCAGAAAGCGGCTTGTTCAAACTTCGCGATCATATTGTAAACGCAATAATTTTGTCATTTGGAGTGACGTCGAAATAGTTCTTTTGGGGATGCTAAACTAGCATTATAACGGCAATCGGTCACGAACTTTCAGCGGATCGTACTAAATTTGATGCGCCGCCTTCACCGTTTGGACTAGCTGACTTGTACAATAGTGCGCTTGCTTCAGCAAGACTGGTGGCGGAATTCAAGTTGCGCACCCCACGGCCGCCAGGATGACCGTGACCGACTGGTAATTGTTTCATTGTGACAAGCCTGATGTGTTCTAACATTAAAACGCATTGATGTCTATGTCGCTCCTGGTGGTTTCCGGTCTAGATGGCTTACAAACGATGCAAATGCGTTTTTTAGTATTACAAACCAGCGAATTTGTCGCGGGTGCTAATGTGCTCCTGCTTCCTGGTGGGTACACAAACGTGATCCGCTTGAGAAAGTGATTGAACAGCCTAGTGCATAGAATTTAGCGAAGAACAAATTTTTAGTCGCTAAACAGCATTTGACGGGATGCCTTTTTGGCCTTGAGAATTTCACCTCGGTAGAGGGCATTAGCAGTGAAAACTGAGGCAATTGTTTCAAGGAAGGGACCTAAAAGATTGGTAGAAAAACATATCGCCGATGTGCAGTTTTTCCGCCGAGTGCACTTCAAGAAATCGTATGTTGTATGGATGGAGGTTTTGGAACTGACAGACGCAAAACTTAAATGCTTTGCTTTTGATCGGAAATGTATGCGTAATTACGGGTTATTAGCACAATATGGTTTTATTCCCATTTCCGGTGCATCCAGAATGGCTGTATGGATGTGCAAGCGAGCAGACTTGTGTTCAGCTTACACATTTTACACCTAATATCTGGTAAGATATATCGAATCATTTCCCGGATTATCCTACTAGAATGTCTTCTCAAGTTGTTTTTTCGTTATGTATTTAAACTGATTAATTATCTGGTTTCATAATTGTAGATGTTTCTAACCAGGTTTGATGGATGCAAAGGCACCTTTACTCTGGTAATTTTGCGTAAATGCACCACTCGTTTTTGTTCAAATGCCTAATCAAGTGTTTTTCTTATGGAAGTATCATTCATTACCGGGTTTAAGATAAACAAGTTCCTCGGACTACTTTAACTGCGCTCCCACGGTGCACACTGATCACAGAAAATGTTTAGACTCGCTGTCGTTTTGTCCTGGAACTGAACGCCCTGCTGACGGCACAAACAAAGACGTCCGTAAAATTTTGGCCAAGTGTTTTAATGGAAAACCGGAAGACCATTAATATATCCATCAGGTTACGACTCTTTGGAGGTGCTCTTAGCGTAATTCAATAGCATTTGGCACCCTCGGTAGCCTGCCTACTTCCCGATAGTCCCAATGTATAGCCAAGTTTGAGCCTGTGGAACATAGACCACGAAGAACTGAGGGACCGCAGACTAGAGGCGCATTTTTGGCTGGACATAAAGGCCAATATTTCATATGTCTAGCACAGTTATTCAAACTACTGCTGGGTGTGCACTGAAAACTACGGTGCAAGAAGGGTTATATATGAACTTCAATATGAATGATTCAAACAATATGTTTATATAGCAGGCGGTTCAAACGTATGCAAAATCCACCATCTGGCGCGACTGAATCCCCACAGACACTTGTCACAAATTTATCTCTAGAGTTCGTTTAATTACCCAGAGAGCGTGCCTTGTATTCCTGACTTGACGTGTGTTGAAATTCACAAGATACTCAGTGACAGATTTGCCACTGCATGTGCCGGTTGTATGGAAAGGAGATCAATGCAAAAAATTGAACGCTTGAACACCGCTATGGAATGTTATGGTGGTTTGAGACAGAAACTTTTGAATTGGACACAAAACGAAGGACCCATGAGATTGAGAAACCTATTGGGCGATGTAAAACCACGAGTTGAGGAAAAACTGTGTCCCAGATATTTACCCAAAACGGAAATCAGTGGACGGAAAGGTGTTGCAGAAACCATAAAACTGATTGTACATTCATAATAGTTGTCAAGTTGGCTAATCGCAGTGTTAGGCGGAATTCCACATGTATCCCTCCTTACCACTGGCACTCAGGTGCTGCTACGGCCGAGAAGTCCATCCCACGCAAGATTGGCCAAGAATTCGGGACACTTGCCGGTCCGGCACCAAGACGAAATCCGATTGGTCGAAAGTTTGGACCCAAGAGCCAATCATGACTGAGTATTGGCCAAATGAGGGTTGCCAATGGCGCATCCAGAACGCCTCATGAGCATTGGCCAAATGAGGGTTGCCAATGGAGCATCCAGAAAGCCTCAGAATTCCCAGAAAGTTACAACCACCTACACTATATACGAAGCGTTGTACAACTGTTTCTGGTTACAACCATCTACCTTATGTACGAAGCGTTGCACAACTGTTTCTGACTTCGTTTTAGGCACCTTTGGTGGTTGTTTTTGTCGTGAACGCTAGCTTGGGAGACTGAGACCGGGAATCTAAGCTGAGAGCAATACCGTTATTACACACAGCTAGCCAAAAAGATGCCAAAGTGCGTACGTCTTTTGGATGTAACTGAGTCTTTGCCGTGACACCGCAAAACGGCTCTCTTTACCGATGTCTTAATCCTATTTGTGAAGGATTTCACATGCTCGTGACACTGTACCAGCTGACACATTCTGTCACTCATTCAATAATTTAGGCTACTTCTTTTAGATACATTGATATTTTAGATAACTAAATAGGGTTTTATTATTTGCACAGGTCTCTTGTTCTTTGAGAGTTGAAATAATGCACTGTGGATCACTTCTGACATGTTATGCACAGTGCAAATCTAAGGCAGACGTTAGCTTTCATACGGCTTTTGTATGAGCCAGTAAGATTTATTATCGGTCACCTCCAGCAAAATGACTAACTAATTGTGCTAACACATGACGTTTGTTGTACGTAAGTACCTATAAATCACGAAAGTACATCTCAAACAAGCTAATTAGCCTCTTGTTCAGTTTGGTAATCATCAAGAGTCAGCATGCGTTTCGTGTGCGTTCACTTATTGATATTACTGATAAGTGAGTTGATAATCAGTTTGTCGAATGCTCATTGGTTCGTGCCATGCACATTAATTTCTACTCACAAGAATACCGGAAGAAGCAATTTTGAACACCGGTCGCTTGAAAAGCAATGCGGGTAGACAACACTACTTGTTCACTCCAATGCCAATAAATCCTACGTCCCTGCTTGTGGGAAAACCAGTTTTGGAGGGGCAGCGATTACTCATTTTGATAACAAAAAATGTCGTTGGAGCTTGACTTTGAAATTTGGGACCAAAGATGTGGGCTTATGTAATCTGAAGTCATAAAACGAAAGCACCAATAACTTATAAAACGCCAAAATGATTAACCGGACGATGAAATTTTATGTTAGTCATGCGTGACAGAAGAGACTACCATGTTATTAACGAAACACACTCCTCTGAAAACCTATTTGATTTTTTGAGAGATTCACCTGGAACCAAGCTGAAACTCCCATTTGTAATGTTCCCACGTAATTGAATGTGCTCCACCAGACCGCCTCATGTTTCAGACGCTACGATGTTCGAAATATCGCAATCCATGTATATATTTGCAATATACTGCTCATAAGATCGCTGAAAATCTGTCAACAGCTCCTTTTTGAGGCTCATCAGGTAAGCCCAGTCCCCGATTTTCCGTCAACTTTATGTTCTACTTGAAACCAAATTGCGCGAAATTAGCGTATATACACTCATTTGCAAACTAATTTGGTTTTTCAAGAGACTCACCTGGAACCAAGCTGAACCTCTCGACTGTGATGTTTTTACCAACTGAATATGCTGTTCCAGGCCGCCATATGTTTCAGTCTCTACGATATTCGAGATATCGCGATACAGGTAAATTCGTGATGCACTACTCATAAGGTTACTGTCGACGAATTTTCAGCGACGTTATGAGTAATGCACCACGAAGAGTTCCACGTTATTGTATTACTCATCTTAAAAGCTAGTAATTCGGCTAGTTGCCACTAGTGTGATGCTGATTTGTTTTGCACGCAAAATAAATGGTGCTTCTTTTATTGGCCATACTGTACAATAAACAAAACTTTGTTTGCAAAACATAATTTAAGGCAAAAGCTTGTTCCCGGGTGTGAGCAACCCATTTTATCGAGATTACACGAACAAAACTCCTAGCAGAAAGTGTTGCAAAAATACAGTTTTTGGCTAGATGATGGGCTGATTTACTGAACATGCTGAGGTGTGTTTTGTGTCGGATTATTCAAACGTTAGTGAAGTTGTTGGTGAACCCAAAAAATGTCAATTTGCAATCTTCTGTCACGTGACGAGTATAACAAATATACTGTGATGAGAAAATCGGAAATGGTGAATGTACTTGTGGAATCCAACGGTTCCTTCAGTTGGTTCATTCGTTTCCTTTTTCTTATCACTGTCATCATTCGCGTGCTATAACTTGTTGGCCCCGTTTTGTACTTGGCGTAATATTGTCTGGCTATAATATCTGACTCAGCACACGTGAATTTAGAAAAGTTTGGACCAATGAACAACCGTCATTTGTATGTTTCAGTTATTAACGATGGTTAGTGCAGGTCAACATCTGCACATCAGAGTCGCATAGGAATGGATTATAAGACAGTATGGATGATAATCCAGAATAGAGCATGTGTGTAGATATGCTGTTGACATATATGCTGTCTTGAGTCTGTCAAAAGTCTGGTTCTGTTATTTTGGACCTCGTAGGTATTATACAGTTGATTGCACTGCAAATTTGGATAACTTATCGCCAAATCGCATAATTATTAGTAAATTGAGAGGCAAGCGGGTTCAAAGTCTCCTCCAGTACATACGAAACATTTTCAATTTAATAGTCGCAACATATTCGTAGCTCAGTAAACACTGCGAGGTCAGATCAACCGTCCTACTCTGGCAAGAAGCAAATGGTAAGCACCGGGTACACTGGTCAGATAGGTTTATTCGCCACAATGTTTATGTAGAACTTGCCGAATTTACTGTCGGCTGGGGAAAAACAGTGATTTCGGTAATTCAGCATTAGCTTTGGGAAAATGTGTGAAGCCTTCCTCTTGATAAAACTGCCCTGCTATATAGCACGGATGTTCCACAGAAATGCATTCATGGGAGCAAATCTCCATAAAAATTGCACAACGGTAACGATGCGCGTGAAGATATCCATTGTAATAAGGAAAGTTCATTGTCCGAGCGATCTCGGCCGACATAGTTGTTTAACATTGAAATAGGGCAACACCAGCGGACGTGAACTGGTAGATTTTACAAAACGATTACAACATTTAAAGTGCTAGAAAATGACGGTGCAAATAGCAGCTTTTGGTGTTTTTTACTTTGTTTAAATATCTGTCTGACATGGCAGTCAGATTTCGGTTTTATTCATTAAAGACAACTAGCCACCCGAGAGACCTTCGTAAGGGCAGCGTTACCGAGAAAGGTTGCAAGTGTAATAAAGGAAAAGCGGCAGAAGGAAAATCAAATCAAAATTCGAAAAATGCGCCAACACGAACCAGGTGATCCTGTTTCTTACGTTCACTGAAGTTAAATAAATAACAACGCATTTTTGGCAGTAAGACTCTCTTCCGTTTCCTAATTCTGCGGTTGCACTACGCTCCGAACGCAAACTTTGCTTGATCTCCCAACATATTGGTCCTACATAAGCGTTTATTACAGGCTCACACCGAACTTTTTCGGTGTTATCGTGTTTGGAGTGCGGGTCTGGAAATTCACCCCAGTTTATGCCAGTGTCTTCCAAGAAGCTTTCTTGTAGAGAAGTGCATAGTAAGCCCAGAAAGAGCTCCACAGCCCTGTCACTTAGAGAAGTTACCTGCTCAAGAACGAAAATCACGCCTTGATTACTTGAAAACTGCAAATGGCAAACTAATCTTGTGCCCTTCAGAGCAATAAGCGATCATCAGTGAATACACAGGAGTGCCTGATGTGTCTCGCCGCTCGGAATGCTGCTAAGAAGCAGCAACAAGCAGCGAGCACCCGATTGACACTGCTAACCTTTTGTTCCAGGCAGTTTGAGATAACTAGCTCTGGCTATCATATGCATGGAAATCTCATGATAATTCTGGCGAGCAAGCTGGCCTATAGTCCACGGAAGGGTTGCCCGATCGGGCACGGCTTTAGCGAGTGGGTACAACTAAATTCGTTACCGTGGTCATCGCCTAATGATCGGTCTGTGTGGGCAGGACAAGTGCCAATTAGAGCACACCAGTTTTCAAAAAGTGGCTACATGAAGCGTGAACCTCGACCTAGAAGTGAAAAGACACTTTTTCTTGCCCGCGTTCATGAATTACTCAAGTGACTGGGTTTAGTCCATCCTTTCTGTGTTTCTATTGGAAACGTTCAATGTATTTCACATCCATCATCAAAAGCTTTGTTCTACTCGGAGCCATACGGTTCAAGCTATTCCGCAGTCACTTTATTCTGGAAGAAAACCATAAAAGGAAGCATTTCACAAGCTACAGTAGAGACAAACTGGGTTGCAACAAAGCTCTTCAGTTCTCTGTTTTGGGCACTTATGGGACAAACTTTGAAGGTATCCTCATATAACACGTGGAATAAAGGAAAGGCGGCAGAAGGAAAATCAAATCAAACTTTGAAAAATGCGCCAACACGAACCAGATGGTTTTATTTCTTAAGTTCACTCAAGTTAAATAAATATCAATGCAGTTTTGGCAGTAGGACTCTCTTCCGTTTCCTAATTCTGTGGTTGCACTATGCTCCGAACACGAACTTTGCTTGATCTCCCAACAAATTGGTCCTACATAAGCGTTTATTACAGGCTCACACCGAACTTTTTCGGTGTTATCGTGTTTGGTGTGCGGGTCTGGAAATTCACTCCAGTTTATGCCAGTGTCTTCCAAGGAGCTTGCTTGTAGTGAAGTGCATCATGCCTTGATTACTTGAGAGCTGCAAATGACAAACTAATCTTGTGATCTTCAGAGCAATAAGCGATCATCAATAAATACACAGGAGTGCCTGATGTGTCTCGCCGCTCGGAATGCTGCTAAGAAGCATCAACAAGCAGCGAGCACCCGACTGACAATGCTAACCTTTAGTTCTAGGCAGTTTGAGATAACTAGCTCTGGCTATCATATGCATGGAAATCTCATGATAATTCTGGCGAGCAAGCTGGCCTATAGTCCACGGAAGGGTTGC